TACCGTGGCTTTTTCTATTTTGTGTTAATTAATAGAACGACAGAACTTGAATTAACTCGAATAAATTGGAAATGATTAAATTTAAAAAGTTTACGAATGTCCGAAAACCCACAAAGACCCTAACTGTAATTTTTCATAACAAATAATAACAATACAATATTTCGGATATAGCTTGAACTATAGCGGTAGCAATTTGAAAAGAGCCAATTAACTGATCATTCTTTACAGCTCAGCTGGTCGAGTCAAAGAACGGGTAAAATACAAGAACTAGATCGAAACCCAGAAAAATAAAAACTAGAATTGCGCGACGGTCAAAATACAAAAAACTCGTTAGAAACTAAAACATAAATCTTCTCCCAACAGGGCCGAGACGAAGTCGAGGTCTATAAAAATGCTAAAGAAGAACGAGGCTAATATGTAGCCATCTCGATCGAACAAGCTTGGTCAATAAAGGATTTATAATATTGCATAAAGATTTCTTTATTAAATATTAAGAATGACTTTTTTACCATGGGAGTAGAGAAAGAAAGTCGGCTGCGTTTGTAGCACAATAAATTCACGAAAGTCGTTTAACCATCCCTTTCGCTTTTTGCTTCTCCATCGCCGATATTAATAATTACAAACTTAGTACCAATCAAATGTTTTAACGCGCTGGATCAAAGATGGGCCTATCTTTGAAGCCAATCAGAACACAGGATTCGCTTCATATTGCCCAATGCCGCTGTTAGCTATATAATAAATCAGGATACTTTCTTCGCAGTAATTAATGCGGTTTTAAGAAAAACACCATTCCATTGCCTTTGCATTAATAGAGCTTTAAGGTTGCATTGGGTTTGTTTGACTTATGTAGGGTTTTTGACACCGTCAGTCACGATAATTCACTCGCTAAATTAGAGCTTATGGGGTTCGCAGTGTCGCATTATTAACTAATTTTAAGAGGCAGTCTCTAAAAGCGGTCTGATGCGTTACGGTTCAAAAAATAGATTTATTTCAAACTTTGCTCGTGAATCTGTCCTAGTCTAAAGGTTATGGAAACCACCTTAGTTTTTCGAACTATTGTAAAATACTTTTTACCGATCGAAACTCGCTTCAGCGCTCAAAAGACCGTCTTTGACATCCCCGATCATCAAAAATGGCACAAATAGAATTACTCGTTTTTTCACAAACACTTGTTTTAGGAATTTTTTTGCTTCGCATATCTAGATCGATCCTTTGTGAGAACAATCACATACTTAATTCTTTTTAACGGTTTTGCTGAAAATTATTTTCCGATTTGACACCTACTTTGCCTTTGCCGGCATGACCGTGAATATGTACATCTTAATCTCGGATCAGCGCAAAACTCCATTTTCTTCCCAATGATATTTTTATTCAGACTAACTGAAATAGGGTAGAGGGGTTTTGAAATATATGGATATGTTGTGGTCTCGGTGAATTTCTAGTACAGCCGGTCAACATAATATGCACACAGGGAAACCAATTGGGCCGGTCATGACTGTTTAACATATTCATTGGTGATATCAACGATGCATCTAGCCAAAATCTCATCTCTTTGACTAAAATAAAGATGAAACAACCCAATATGGCTGTGATGAATCCCCTGTTGTCCTCCACTCAGAACCTCGCCGTGTTCTCCAACAACTGTTTGGTCACCATCAGGTAACCGCTGAAAGTCTTCTTTCAGAGCACAGACGTCGATTATTCTTTCGTACCTGAACTCCTCGTAGGGCTGGCCAAACAGAATGTTTTCTTTTATCGTTCCCGAGAACACCCAAGCAGTCTGAGGCAAGTAAATGACACTACCTCGATAAAAAACCGTCCCACTAGTGCCGGAAATTTCACCAGCGATCGCTGAGAGTAAAGTAGACTTACCACTTCCAACCGGCCCGGTGATTACTGTTAAACTCTTTGAAGGTGCAACAAAGTTGATATCCTGAAGAATAAATTCATCTTCATGATGGCTTTTTGCGCAGGTTAAATTTGACACGTATAGATCAGCTGGCCCTAGCTCTGTACCTTCAGAAGAGAGTGAGACGTTCTCCATATTTTCGGCTTCTTTTTTCGAGCAACAGCTACTTTGTTTAGTGGAGCTACTCTCGGCCTTTTGTTGGCGTTTCTTACTTTCATCATCCTCCGAGGCTGCCGATACGTTTTCCAAGAGAAGAAATTCTTCGATCCTTTCAAGGGAAACGTACGCGTCATATGTTTGCAGGAAACCATATATCACATGCCTCATGCCACCAAGTCTTAGAAAACCCATAAACGACAGCAGCATAAAAACATTAGCAGGTGTGAGGGTCTGGCCTGTGATCACCATAGTAATTACTGACACCAGAGTAGCTAATGGCGTTGCACAGTACAACAAGGCATCTAGACTTGACTGAATGGCTGTCCTCTTTGTAATGACGCTGATTTCATTTCTGAAGATAAAAGATCATAGGAAGTTATGTGGGCATTCTCTCGAGCCTACTCGTCCCCAGTCTACTCTCTACTATGAAATATTAATGAGGTGGGCGCGTGAGAAGTGTACCCTGCCTTTGGAAAATTTCCCATCGTCCTCTTCGTCATAGAAGTGCTAGTTTCCTGTGACCCTAGCACCATGTATGAAAATCAAAGGCACCACGAAACACGAGTTTGGCTCAATGAAATGTTCTACCAATTATGGTTTAACAATGATTCGTTGAAGGCGAAGTGAATACATTTAAAAATCCCCAAGATGAAATCGAGGGAATTATTCGAAACTATTCATTGAGCTTGAGGCGAATGATTGTTTTGGTATAATTGCTCAGGAGCTTTCGAATTCTGTAGCAAAGTCACTCTGTTATTAACACCATTCTGTAAATAAAGGAAAATTTGCGTGGTTTTTTTGATAAAATTGTTTTGATTACTTATATCAAGTTAAGGAGCCATTTTCTACTAGATTATGACAGCAAAAAATTCCTTCCTCGGCAACTCTGAAAAAACGCGAATCAGTCATTTTCAAATTCAGTCCATATTTATAAGCTCAGAAGAACATGAATTTGAGCGAACCAATGTTCAAAAGGTCAAATAGCCGGAAGGTTGCCCGGGCTTGAGCATCGAGTTGATCGGCGCTTTAATCAGCCAATCATAACGCGCGTTCTAACTGAGAGATATGATAATTAAGTTTAAAGTAGTTCATGCATATATTTACTGCAGCTTACACCACATAGTTGTTGGAGCCAATTCAAGACTAAAC